CTCGGTCATGACCCAATCGAGCAGTACACCCATTGGTACTCTTCTGTCAAAAACGGCTGCACCAATTCAACCCAGCAGCCTTTGGGCCACCCTCCGTAAGAAGCAATCATGGAGGCTTTTTTTTTTTCCCTTTCCCATGTGAACCTATGAATAGAGGCTTTTTTCCCACACAGATGTGAACCTAGGGATTGAGGCTTTTTTCCCCACCCAAAGTGCTACAAATCCTCCAGCCTACAGGACCCAAGCCTGGACATATTAGGATTCTGAGACAAGTTTGTTTTTTCCATATCAGTCATCAACCCTAGAGCACCTCACCATGTGTAGGTGAGAAACCTACAGTAGGTGACACATATACACCATCAACAATCTTGCAACATATTTTGAGGCTCTGTCAGCTTGGAACTTGCAGATACTGTCTGTATTGTATAAGGCTAGGTTCAAACCTATGCATTTTGCAGTGCATTTTCAGATTTGCAGAAATACACTACAGTCCATTAAACACGATTTCCTATGGTTCACATTTACATCTGTGCGGTTTCAACCTGTGTGTTTCTTGGAAAGGGTCAGGGACTTTTTTGCCTGCAGCAGGTTGTGTTTTGGGTTCCATAGACTTCAATGGAAATGCATGAAAAATGTATGTACGTGCATTTTTGGTGCAGTTCCTGAATGAGAACAGACACATCCCCCTAGCAACATTAACTCATCACAAAAATGACAAATGCAAAATGTATCAAAAACATGTGAAAAATGCAAAACGCACTGCAAAAAGCACCAGATAAACACAACTAAAAACTGCATAGGTATGAACCTAGCCTAAAGCCTGCCCTAAGTAAAAATTGTCAGAACAAGATGAGAATATGTAATGTCTGTACTCTCATCACATTTCATGACCTGATCTTTTCCTTAATAGAAAACAGAATTGCTAGCAATAACAGTTTAATTTAAGGATTAATAGACTGAGAAGGTCTTTACAATAAACTGTTTTAATCATTATCCTAATAGACATGGCCATTAGATTTATTGTAAAGAATATGTTTTTTTTCATTAACTATTAAAGTGGTGCAATCAATGTATTCCTGTTGCCCAGTAGAAATGTCAAATGTCCTTACATTAAGGTCAGGTATAGGGACCTCTCTAAAGTACAATAAATCACTTTAAATGGCATGCATGAGTGAATGGAATAGAAATCAATAACAGCACATTTATATTTTAACTTTTTAAAGAAAAAAAGCTATGGGCACAAAGACAGCATCTCTGCAAAGGTCCCCATCCCCCTTCCTTGAACCCCTTACTGTATGCTCATATCATACTTTCCAGCACTCCTTCTTCCCCTGTGGCAATTGACACTAGATGTGGCAAAGCAGTGGGAACAATGATATCATTATCTCACTCATGTGACAGTGTTCAGGCCTAATAATTAGCTGTTAGGGCCCATTTACACCTTTGCATTGTGGTAACACCCTTTAAATGAAATTCCAGCCTAACACTAACTATCTGTAACTACTTCAAGACTGGACTGTTTCACCCCCTTCCTGCCCAGGTAATTTTTCCGATTTCAGAGCTGTCGCACTTAATGAAAGTTAGTCAGTAACCAATTTTAACTTGATATCATTTTTTGAGATTGATAGAGTTTTCTTTTAGAGGTATTTCATCACCACTGTGGGCAGGCAGAGACATGCTTAGGAAACAGGCAAAGGATTGGTCCAGGCAGCAGAGAAACGTGGTCAATAAACAGGCCAGAGTCAGTACAGGTAGCAGGCAGAGGCAACACTGTACTGGTGTGTCAGTGATTAGGAACACTGGTCTGGTGACACTGGAACCTGTCTAGTAGAGTTTTTTGTTTTTTACAATTTTTTTACATACTGTCACCAGAGCAGTATACTACAATTGCCTATACAGTCATGATGACTACATAAGCAATCAGTTCTAACACTGTTTGACTGCATTCATGCAATCTTTGTTTACTAGTGTGATTGCTGTCATTGGTCATAGCCACTACATGGGGCAGGGCAAGTGAAACTGGCCCTACCCCATGTGATGGCTGTGACCAATCACAGCAGTAAACAAAGGCTTTATCAATGAAAGCATCTGTTTGCTGTTACAACTGTGATTGAATTAAAAATGACATTGGCCCTGTACCCCGATCTGATTATGGTGTGTCTGAGGGACAGAATGATCACAGATCACACATGACTTTGGGGCTGCACACACAGTGGCCAGAATGGGAGGACATATAGGTACATTCTCCTGGATTGACATTTATCCTGATCAGCTGTTACTGTATATATAGTGGCCTGACGGGAAGCAGTTAAAAATGTAGCTGTTACTTATCCCACCTAACCTGTGTAATAAAGATGTGTATACTTAAGTATTTTTAGTGTACTTCAGTCTGGTTACGTGATTAGCAGCTCCAGCTCCCATGTGTCAGTGAGCATCAGCTACAGGGGAAAGGAGAGAGTGCTGACCATGGCTGGGTCATGTGAGCCTGTGAGTGAAATCATAGCTCCCGAAATACCCAATCATTGTCAAGGGCTTCCTCCTCTCCCCTGCAGTTGCCACTCACGTGACCGGACCTTGTTTACATTAGCAGTTGGGGTTGATAAAACCCCCCAACCATCCCCTCACATGCAGTTGGGGTTGCACAGATGTGGCAAAAATTGTGGTGTGGCAAAAATCATCACTGCTGTCACATTCAATGGGCAACACTACACAATGAATGCAACCCATTCTGCTAAACATGGACGCCCTACAACTGCATGCAATGCACACGGATTGCGGCAAGCTAGTGTGGGCTCACCGCCTGTCAAATGGTCTCTGAAGGGCATTCCAAACACGGACCACTCCTAAGGCTCCTTTAATCTCCTTTAATCTCCTATATAATAGGAGGGTACTCCTAATCTATCCAAACTGCAGGCCCTTGCACTACATAGCTGTTGGTTGATATAAAGGATATTGTACAATCAGAAGGTATAGGGTATGATATGCTTTAGAGGCCAATTGCTCTTCACTATTCAGATTGTGCAGAAGATGAGGTAGACACAAAAAAAAGCTCTCTGCTTCCTGTTTCTCCTTTGTTGCATGAATATAGGGCTGAGAGATGTTTGCCAGAAAGTGTGAATGGACTGGCTGCAATATGTTAGAGCAAAGCTCAGGCATAGTGTAAAATGTTTTGAGTGTCATGCTCCTAGGGTTGTCGCCTCACCCCTTTAAACCCGAACACATATTTATTACACAGGTTCTGTGGCTGATTAAGCTGGTAATTAACCCCTTGACGCCGACGTAACACAAATATGCGGCCTCACGGACCTGGGCTTTTTTCCGTGGGGCCGCATATTTGCGTGCCTGTCTTTGTGTTGGGAGCGCGCCCCTCAGCGCGCTCCCAGCACCAAGACCGCGGTGTCACTGAGAGCACCGGGTCCCGTTCTAACGATCGGGACCCGGGTCACATGATCGCTGTGATAGCCTCTGATTGGCTATCACAGTGATCAGTCACTGTGCAGCCTGGCCCCCTTGTTTTTTTTTCTCTCTCTCTATGAATGGAGAAGAGAGATACATTGTATCTCTCGAACTCCTGTCAGAGAGAAGAAAAAAAAACGTTTGTAAAAAAAAAAAAAAAAGATAAATAAATAAATATTAAAAAAATACCTAGAACAAGGTTTGATCTAGTTCAGTGCCAGGGTTAGTGTTTAGGTCAGGGTCAGGGTCAAAGGTCAGGGTCAAAGGTCAAGGTCAGGATTGAAAAAAAATTGGTATCAGTGTCAGTTAGTGTTAATGTCAGTGTCAGTTAGTGTTAGTGTGTTTTAGGTAAAAAAAAAAAAAAAAAAGACAAAAACAAAATGCGCACTATGGTTTCTGGGCTGTACTACGGGTACAAACAACAAATAACATACACATATATGGCATCGCTGCGATCGTCAAGAGCTGGAGAATTTATTTTGGGTTGTTCTTTGGTGGTAGGTTATGGTCATAACAAGAAACACATAGCTAAATAAAAAAAAAGGATTTTTTTTACTATTTTTGACCAGTTTTCCTTTGATAATAAAAAGAAATCAGGAGATATCCATTACTATTTACCACCAAATGAAAGCCCAATTTGTCCTGAAAAAATCAAGGTATAATCCACCTGGATGTGCAAAGTAGTTGTGATGATATGTACAGTTTTGCTATCACATGTCAACGGTGCAGAATTGTGCTTAGGCATTTAGATTTGTTTTACCCTTAGGCGTGAAGGGGTTAAACTCACTCGTAGTGCCTTATCTGTTATAAATTAGCCTCAGCACCTGTGTGATTAGTATGTGTTCAGCTTTAAAGGAATGAGGTGGCAACCCTACATGCTCCTTGCATTCATTATGAATATATGGTTAATCCATACATGGCACAATTACCCTTAAAAATGTTGAATCCTTTGTATTGCCTACTTGTAGCCTCTTTGGTCACCCTATGAAACTCCATGTCCTTCAAGATGAACTATTCCAGACAAAACTTAATAATCTTTTCCAGAACTTCTGAATACTTGTCTAATTAAAGGCAGCTGCACTGCATTTACATATACTTAAATTCTTGGAGACTCAAAGCAGTACTGGGTGGATACCATTGTGTTCAGAAGTCTGAAACTCATTCTTAGGCATGCAAAACCAGAAATAGTTTACCATCTTTTCTAAAAGACAGGTTTGGAGTTTATACAGCATTTTGACTTTATGATAAGAAAACGGTCCAGCATCCAAACACAAAGTACAATTCTTTCCTTTACAAAGTATGATTCTTTCCTATGAGTGAACAAGACTTGATTATGTTCATTGTCCATAATAAGAATAATAATAATCACAAACCTGTCTGAACATTTAAGCAACATATGCTATATCCACATATGGGACACATACTGTGTTTTTCACTCATAAGACACACCTAGATTTTAGAGGAGGAAAACAAGAAAAAAAATATTATGAACCAATGCACTGCAGACATAGTACAGGAGATGACCAGAGACTGCAGACTTGGTACAGGAGATGACCAGAGACTGCAGACATAGTACAGGAGATGACCAGAGACTGCGGACATACTACAGAAGACCAGAAACTACGGACTTGGTACAGGAGATGACCAGAGACTGCGGACATGGTACAGGAGATGACCAGAGATAGCGGACATGGTAAAGGAGATGACCAGAGACTGAGGACATGGTACAGGAGATGACCAGAGACTGCGGACATGGTACAGGAGATGACCAGAGACTGCGGACATACTGCAGGAGATGACCAGAAACTGAGGACATGGTACAGGATATGACCAGAGACTGAGGACATGGTACAGGAGATGACCAGAGACTGAGGACATGGTACAGGAGATGACCAGAGACTGAGGACATACTACAGGAGATGACCAGAGACTGAGGGACATGGTACAGGAGATGACCAGAGACTGCGGACATACTACAGGAGATGACCAGAGACTGAGGACATGGTCCAGGAGATGACCAGAGACTGCGGAAATACTACAGGAGATGACCAGAGACTGTGGACATGGTACAGGAGATGACCAGAGACTGAGGACGTGGTACAGGAGATGACCAGAGACTGCAGACCTTTGGGAGCAGGGGGGGATATTTGACAGGTACCCGCTCCCACTTCCGCAGAGTTGTCCCTGTAGTCTTGTGGGACATGTGACAGGTACCAGAAGACTACAGACAACAGGTGGCCATTCACAAAGCGCAGCGCTTCTTGTGCATGCTTCTATATTTGCAACATCACTGACCCAGAACTAGTGTGCAACTCTGATGTTTTGTGGGCACAATAGCCCAATGCCTATGTCAGGAACTATAGCTGGCAGGGGTGTTTCTTCTTCCTTTAGCAGTCCCCTGTTCCCTTACATTGCCCCTAGGTCTTAGTACACAATGCTATAGTATCTGGGCTGAGGCACCACGACTGAGCAAAGTGAACAGAAAAGGGTACCTGTAGTCTAGGCTGGTTTTTTGAGGGGTGTGGACACTGCAGTAGAGCCCTGGGCTTGTGATTTGAAAATAGTGCCACAGACTGACCAGCAATTAAGATGCTATGAAGGGGCTGCAGCAATGCCCTCTCTGTTGCCAGGCCAGGTCTGGGCAGCAGGAAACCAAGTAGGAGCATGAGGTTAAAGTGGAGCTCCTCCCAAAAGGGAAGTTCCGCTTTAAGGACTGTTCCACCCCTCCCCATTATGGATTGGCACCTTTGGGGGGGGGGGGGGCGGGTACCCGAGTTTGACAGGTACCCACTTCCGGTCCGGGCCTAGGCGACCGGAAGCTGAAGGTGTCCTCCCTCCCTCCCTGTAGTGGAGCCGGGTGCCCACACTGAAGATGCCGCTGCTGGGGAAAGAAGACTTCCGGTGAAAGCAGGACACCGCTGGACCGAGGAACAGGTAGGACCAAGGAGCAGGTTCCTCTGCACAGTAGAGCCGAGCGGCCGGCCCAGTATTCTAACACGGCGGTGGCGGGAATACCAGTCTGGCCGCTCCATATTCGTTCCATAAGACGCCCAGACATATTCCCCCATTTTTTAAAAAAGTGGAGCAAAACATATGGTATGTTTCTAATGCTTTAAAGTGAAAATGAACTCAAAAGGTGAAGATATTGCTATGTTAAAGGGAACATATATAAAGGTTACTCCCTAGAATGTTTTTTCAATGCCAAGTTTTATTGGTTCAGCTTGGAGCATGTAAGCATACATTTTTTATACCTATGGAACCACTGTGGAAACAGAGAATGACTGTAATAGCCTGTGCTACTACAGAGATCACCGTGGTCTTCTGGATTCTGTGCTGAACAACCACCCTTCAGCATACTGAACACAGGGGTCATAATGTCTTGTATTTTCTCTCTTTAACCACCTCAATACAGGGCACTTTTACCCCCTTCCTGCCCAGACCAATTTTCAGCTTTCAGCGCTCTCACACTCTGACTGATAATTACTCAGTCATGCAACATTGTAGCGAAATTACATTTTTGTCCTTTTTCACACAAATAGAGCTTTCTTTTGGTGGTATTTAATCAGCACTAAACAAAACTAGATCAAACTCCTGCGCCACCTAGTGAATAAATAAATATGAGATTGATAGTGAAATGGAGAAGCTGCGGCTAGCATTAAATCGTGTTCCCACAACTAAACCATAATATAAATAGAATCAATGCTGCGCTGCAAATACATAAAATGAATAAACAAAATGTGAATAAGAGTGAGGTGATACAAATCAATATGATATATAAATGTCCATAGTATGTGAAATAATCAGTGTATTACAGACAATCCAACTCTTCACAGCTCATTTGCTTCTTCATGTGCTCAAACCCACACCATCAGATCAGTGCTATAAACATGCAGACAGTGTCGCCTCAGTGCAGTGCTTTATTATGTTAAAAGGTATTGCACTCACATGACTTCTGATGAAGTCACGTGAGCGTGATTTAACCCCACGTTAGGGCGTGGCCATGGGCAGACGTAATTGAGTTCAACAGGACTTAGAAGTGCAGCATTGATCTGGTGATGTTTAACCTGTTTTACGGCATTTTTATTCATATGTACATGTGACTGCAATACCTTTTAGCATAATAAAGATACAATTGTTAGTACATACTGCACCATTGGAGTGTCCTTTGGTCTCCTCCATTAAAGGTGATTATCTCAGACCTCCAACCCCCCCCCTCCCCTCCTCTTAAAGGGACCGGATCCCATATCTGGCTTGATGTTTTTTAAAAGTTGCTGTATCACTTCTACATGGTTAATAATCGGGAGAGTGAAGGAATCCTTACTGATCTGGCATTACAAAGCACAATTTGATTGCTCGGAGGTGAGAGTTCTGTGAGCACTGAGGTGACACTGTCTGCATGTTTATAGCACTGATCTGATGGTGTGGGTTTGAGCACATGAAGAAGCAAATGAGCTGTGAAGAGATGGATTGTCTGTAATACACTGATTATTTCACATACTATGGACTTGGTTCATGGACATTTATTTATCATATTGATTTGTATCACCACACTCTTTTTCACATTTTGTTTATTTGTTTTATGTATATATATTGATTCTATTTATGTTTAATCAGCACTGTTTTTTTTTGCTTTAACCACTTACCTACCGAGCACTTATACCCCCTTCCTGACCAGGCCAATTTTCAGCTTTTAATGCTGCCGCACTTTGAATGACAATTGCGCGGTCATGCAACACAGTACCCATATGACACAAATAGAGGTTTCTTTTGGTGGTAATTACTCACTGCTGGGTGTTTTATTTTTTGCGCTATAAACAAAAAAAGAGCAAATAAATTTGAAAAAAAAAGTTTTCCTTTGTTTCCATTATAAAATTTTGCAAACAGGTAATATTTCTCCTTCACTGATATGCGTTGATGAGGCTGCACTGATGAGCACTGATAGGCAGAACTGAAAGACGGCACTGATGCTGCTGCACTGAAATGCAACAATGATGGGCACTGATGGGCGGCACTGATGGGCATCACTGACAGGCGGCACTGACGGGTGGCACTGATGGGGGGCACTGATGGGTAGCACTGCTGGGCACAGGTGGTTGACACTACTAGGCACTGATCGGCACAGGTGGGTGGCATTGTTGGGCACTGATGGGCACCAATCAACAGGGAACTGATCATCACTCCCGGGGGTGCGGGAGAAAGCGTTCTGGGAGGATGTCATATGACGCTCTCCCAGGACTGGACAACCGTACTGTAGCCGTCATTCAGCTATAGCGCAATTAGCAAGTGGTTAAATGAAAAAAGACAGAACATTTAGTAAATACACATTTTCTTTACTTCTGTTATAAAATTTAGCAAACAAGTCATTTTTCTTTATAAATTTTGGCCAAAATTTACACTGCTACATTGCTTTAGTAAAAGTGACCCAAATCCGTGTAAATTATTTGATCTGTGTGAAAGTTATAGAGTCTACAAGTTCATCAGTCATTGAATATTGATTACACCTGTTGTACTGATGGCCTCTCTCATTTCCTGAGACACTAATGCAGGCCATAGATGGGTCGAAAAATCGGCCGTTTTTTTTTTTAAAAAATAAAAAATCGGCTGATTTTCGGATCGTTAGTGGGCTATTTGTTTGGCCGTTTTTCGGTATTTTTTTTATCGGTAAAGTTGGAAAAAAAAATCGGCCGATTTTGCCGATCGGCCGATTTTCGCGGCAATGATGGGCAAATCGGCCAATTTTTTACCGATAAAAAAATCTGCGCATGAGCAGTGACCTGCAAGAGGAAGACAAAAGGAAGAAAAAGAAGAAGAGGATGAAGAGGATGAGGATGAAGAGGATGAAGAAGAAGAGGATGATGATGAAGAAGAAGAGGATGATGATGATGAAGAAAAGGATGATGATGATGAAGAAAAGGATGATGATGATGATGATGAAGAGGAGGAGGAGGATGAAGAAGAAGAAGAGGAGGAGGAGGATGAAGAAGAAGAAGAGGAAGAGGAGGATGAAGAAGAAGAAGGAGAGAAGAGGAGGATGAAGAAGAAGAAGAGGAAGAGGAAGAAGAAGAAGAAGAGGAAGAAGAAGAAGAAGGAGAAGAAGATGAGGATGATGAAGAAGGAGGAGAAGAAGATGAGGATGATGAAGAAGGAGGAGAAGAAGAAGAGGATGATGATGAAGAAGGAGAAGAAGAAGAGGATGATGATGAAGATGAGGATGATGATGGTGAAGAAGAAGAAGAAGAGGATGATGATGAAGAGGAGGAGGAGGATGATGATGAAGAAGGATGAAAAAAAGAGGAATTCCAGTACGGCAAAAAGTGTCCCTGCAGAGAGCTCTGCTATTTCTTTGACAGTTCTTTGACATTTATAGCGGTTGCAACATTGTATCTATTTGTTTCCGAATAAAAACATCTGTATCCTAAATGGATACAAATAGATACATTGTTGCAACCGCTATAAATGTCAAAGAAATAGCAGAGCTCTCTGCAGGGACACTTTTTGCCGGCTGTAGACGGGATGAAAATCGGCCGATTTTTTTTTTTTTTTTTTTTTTTTTTTTTACCATTGCTGGTAACGTTCGGTCGCTTGAACGACCGATTTTTCGTTTTTTAAAAGAAAAATCGGCCGTTTTTCTCCCCGTCTATTGCCTGCATAAGGCTGGCCATACACTATACAAATTTCTGCACAATTTCCTTTAGATTTACCTTCAACTATGTAGTGCAAGAGCCGGCCTAATTGGATACAATTGAAAGTGTTGTTAGGCTTGACCTGCTATTATATGGTTTTTTGGTAAATCTAAACCAAAAATCTCAAGAAAATTGTATAATGTATGACCAGCCTTTCAAGCCAGGACAGTACAAATACCCCCCAAATTACCCATTTTTGGAAAGTAGACATTCCAAGGTATTTAGTGAGAGTTTTGTAAAGCTGTTATTTTTCCCACAACCCTTTGGAAATGAAGAAAGTAAATAAAATTATTCATATTAGACAACTGTCATATAACAGGTTATTTCTCTCACACGGCATATGCATACTTGCAACTACACCCCAAAACACATTCTGCTACTTCTCCTGAGTATGGGGAATACCAAATGTGGGAGACATTTTCACAACCTAGCCACATAGAGAGGTCCAACTACAGTTGCCACCTCATCCCTTTAAAACCGAACACATATTAGTTACACGGGGTCTGAGCTAATTTAATGCAGATAAGGCACTAAGTGAGTTTAATTACCACCTTCATAAGCCACAGGACCTG